GGACGTGCCTCAACCCTGACTGGTCTAGAATGGGGGTGGGTTATTGGCTCCACCAGAAACATTGCAGCTGTGACCATACTATTCCTGGATGTTGTGCAGACAGCTGGAAGGTAGCACTAGCTGGGTCTCGCTTCTTCAGTGGTGCCGAGAAGCGGTATGCTCCGATTGAAGGGGAGGTCTTGGCCGTCGCATGGGCACTGGAAGATAGCAGTTTCACCATGGGGTGCTGGGATCTCATCATAACTACCGGGCACAAGCTGCTTGTGAAAATCCTTGGGGATCAGGCACTAGATGACGTCACCAATCCGAGGCTCTTCAGACTGAAACAGCGCACTCTCATGTGGCAGTACCAGATCGTGCACGTCCCTGGCAAGACCATCCTAGCAGCAGATGCAACATCGAGGTACCCGTCAGCCACAGACTCAAACGACACAGCCAGCGAAATATGTGCTCTGTCACCTGTCCGGGTCCCAGCAGGCACCCACGATGACCTGGAGACACTCCTCGTGGCGGCAGCAAGATTATTAGCGGACTCTCTTGGCTTAGTCACACAGGAGAGAGTCAAGGAGTGCACCTCCACTGACCACGACCTCCAGCTGCTCAAACCACTAGTTGAGTTTGGGTTCCCACCATCCTGGGACGCCTTACCAGAGGAACTGCAAGTATACTGGCAGTACCGTGACAGGTTATTTCTCATGGATGAAGTCGTCACGATGGACCACAGGATTGTGATAGCACAGGCACTTTGGAATGAGGTCCTACGGACACTTCACGCAGCTCACCAAGGCAGCAGTCGCATGCACAGTAGGGCAGTAGGCGCCATCTTTTGGCCAGGCATCACCAGAGACATCGAGAGCACACGTTCCAGGTGCCACGCTTGCTGGGGAATGTCACCCTCCCAGCCTCGTATGCGGCCTGTACAACGATTTGTGCCAAGCAACCCCTTCCAAGCCATTGCTGCTGACTTGTGCAGTGCCCGGCATCGTGGACAGGTTCAGCGGCTGGCCACACATTGTCGTGTCCAAGTCAGGTGCCAAGGGCTTCATCACGGCTCTTCTCAATTACATACTTTGCAACATTTGGCATTCCTGAAGAACTGAGCACAGATGGAGGCCCGGAGTTCACTGCAAAAGAAACGGAGTCACTTCTGTGACGATGGGGAGTGAGCCATTGCCTTTCATCGGCACACCACCCACAGCCCAATGGGTGGGCAGAGGTAGCCGTTAAATCTATGAAGCGCTTACTGACATCGCACACAGATGCAAATGGGAGTCTCGATACCGAGGCGGTAACCGCCGGCTTGCTTCAGTATCAAAACACGCCAGACCCTCAGACCAGCATGTCACCAGCACAAATCATCTTCGGCAAGAATCTTCGGGATCTGCTACCCATTGCTCCAGGAATGCACCAACTCACCAACTCACTGATTCACCCCATGTTGCGTCGAACGTGGGACATGCAAGAAGAGGCCCTCCTACTAAGATTTGCCAAACAAGTCGACAATCTGCAACACCACACCTGGTAGCTTCCCTCCTTAGTGCCCGGTAATTGAGTGATTCTGCAAAACCAAACTGGGAATCACAGCACGAGATGGGACAGAACCGGTGTGGTAGTGGAGTCGAAGCTGTATGACCAGCACTTGGTCAAAGTGGATGACTCGGGATGGATTACTTTGTGCAATCAGCGATTCCTGCACCACATTCAGGGGCTGGCCAATGCCAACCAGCCCTCGTCGTCACCATACCCTGTTCCTCCGCCTCCCGACATCCTATCCACACCAGCCTGTAGTGCGGCACAGAATGGCGAGCTGCCCCAGGTACCCAGTGGCGATGCAGCGGCCACACCCTCCACAGTCGCACGATCCAGCGACAACCCCAGAACCAGCAATGGAGCACGCAGACCAGGCACTCCCACAGGAACAAGAGCCAGCACCCAGCCAGACCATCGCACAACACACTCCCATATCGCCACCTCCATGACCATGTAGAGACAGACGTCCGCCAGCATACCTACGGGATTATGTCACAGAGTGATGAGTTTCCTGCTGAAAACTGAGGAGGATGTGGGATGTATATGGGGGTGACATAGAGTGAGTCAAATTCGTAGGTGCCGATGCACCGCCTGTAGGTGAGGCGGAGAAACGCGAGTGTAAACAAAGAAAGCATGAGGCCAACGGAACACATATTACCTCCCTAATACATAAGTTAATAGTCACGTATTATGCAGGGGAGGGCAATGCACACTCACTATAGATTTCCATCCATACCGTGCACAGTTAATGATATATCAGAACTAGGAGGCACAATGTGTACTCACAACGTCAGGTTGTGCATCCTAATTTGTGTATTTTATCTCTTTGCAGCTAGGTAAACTCCAGGTAGAAGCATTCATTATGTTGTACCTGAATAAATGATTACCAACACTCACCCAAATGTCTTTTTTTTACCAATTTATGTTATACCTAATATTATTCTGGAATAAATATGATAGATATTATTTATTGATGGCAATAGTATAATTATGCAATAACAAATCTAGAAGCAGTGCTTTGAAATGTGGTCTAGACCAGCTGATGATGCCTTACCATCAGCTGTATAATGTACATTTACTGCAGGGTAAAAGAGCCCAGAGATCCATTAAAGAATTTATGCACGCTCCAATACAACCATCGACTTCAGTACCAGAACCTCTACCATACACTTCTGCTGACAACCAACAACCATCCACCTCAGCCCAGTAGGGCCACACCATGCATATCCACTCTCTTCACAATCGTCCACAAACACCATTACCCACAATTTAAGGTAAGAAATACTATTATTTCTATTGCATTTGTAGTCTTAAGCAGTAATATATCACAACAATGCACTACAATTACATATTCACTTTAATTTTTTAAGATCTGGAGGTCTAAAAAAAAAAGCTGTTGGGCTTTTTGGGGGCTCCCAGGAATGTAACCCTATTTCTCCCATAAGTTCTTCAGTTTGTCTGACAAGGTTTTGTCTAACGGCTTTTTCAGGAATGTAACTACCGTGTTAAATGACAGTCTACTGTATATTTTTGTAATTTCATTTTACTTTGGTATTCTAGTGCATTTTAGTATGTACTTAATTTTAATGATAAAAGTACCAAGTAATCCAGGTGAGATCATCCTTCAAAACTAAAGGAAAATGTTAGCATACCTGGAGTTTACCTGGAGAGAGTTCTGGGGGTCAACGCCCCCACGGCCTGGTCTGTGACCAGGCCTCCTGGTGGATCAGAGCCTGATCAACCAGGCTGTTGCTGCTGGCTGCACGCAAACCAACGTATGAGCCACAGCCCGGCTGGTCAGGAACCGACTTTAGGTGCTTGTCCAGTGCCAGCTTGAAGACTGCCAGGGGTCTGTTGGTAATCCCCCTTATGTATGCTGGGAGGCAGTTGAACAGTCTCGGGCCCCTGACACTTATTGTATGGTCTCTTAACGTGCTAGTGACACCCCTGCTTTTCATTGGGGGGATGTTGCATTGTCTGCCAAGTCTTTTGCTTTCGTAGTGAGTGATTTTCGTGTGCAAGTTCGGTACTAGTCCCTCCAGGATTTTCCAGGTGTATATAATCATGTATCTCTCCCGCCTGCGTTCCAGGGAATACAGTTTTAGGAACCTCAAGCGCTCCCAGTAATTGAGGTGTTTTATCTCTGTTATGCGCGCCGTGAAGGTTTTCTGACCTAGAAAATGTACAGAGAACCTTCACGGCGCGCATAACGGAGATAAAACACCTCAATTACTGGGAGCGCTTGAGGTTCCTAAAACTGTATTCCCTGGAACGCAGGCGGGAGAGATACATGATTATATACACCTGGAAAATCCTGGAGGGACTAGTACCGAACTTGCACACGAAAATCACTCACTACGAAAGCAAAAGACTTGGCAGACGATGCAACATCCCCCCAATGAAAAGCAGGGGTGTCACATGTTATCAGGCATTGATATGCATTTAACCCGTAAACAGTCCAAGCAGATCTATGTTCACATGTGTAGTGCTACAAAAGTAGATTTATGTTTTTTTACATATTTTCAAATATAACAAAAAAAAAGTAGATCAAAGTTCTTTTTACACATTTTCAAATGTAAAAAAACAAAAAGAAGATCTACTTTTTTTACATACTTTCGAATGTTGAAAAAACGTATATATACGTTTGGACCATTTACGGGTTAAAAGTGAAAGCAAGGATGATTCACCTTACGGTAAGTTTTGCTTTACTGTGACAGCTTGGAACCTAAACTGTTGTATAATCGAGGCCTTCCTGTATGGTGTAATTCATGGTAAAGTAGGAACTCGAAAATATCTAAAAAAAAAAAAAGATGAATACTGGTGATCCAAAAGATATTACAGTTTCAATTTGAGACTTCCCAGAATGCCACACTGTACATATGCATGTCGTACTTTGTATGTCAATTTTTTTTATAAGTTTACGGAGAAAATAAGTTGTCTCACATGATGGTGAAAAATAAATTTTTGAAAAATGAAATGTGTAAATATTATGTATGAATTGTGGTGTAGTGTTTGAACTTGAAAAAGCACTGGCAGAAATATACTAAATATGCCCATAAATAGTCAAGTAACCCAAAGCATACTGGAAATGGCCATGTATAGTAGTTTAATAGTACACAGTACATTTGTGATGAATGGTTTGAAAAACCGACAAGTTGAAGATTGAGACACTTATGCAGCATATGGGAATCTTTATTCAGGAAACGTTTCGCCACACAGTGGCTTCATCAGTCCAATACAAAGAGGAAGGCGTAAGGAGAGGACTGATTACCTCATTCTCCTCCTCTCCTTACGCCTTCCTCTTTGTATTGGACTGATGAAGCCACTGTGTGGCGAAACGTTTCCTGAATAAAGATTCCCATATGCTGCATAAGTGTCTCAATCTACACAGTACATTCAAAATTATACTTGAATATATTAACAGGTCAGCAATAACACTAACTGGTATTATGAAGTGCATTATTTTATTTTATTTTCTGATTGCACATTTTAAATTCTACATATATATATATATATATTTTATTTATATATATATATAAATATTTTTAGGAGCATAATTGTCATAATAATAATAATAATTATAATCTGTATGTACATATCAGATCAGATATATAATATACATTTAGGTATATAATAAAGCAATCTCTGAGCTTTAAGCTAAAGGAGATAAAATACTTAGTCAAAATCTGGAAAGTGTCTTGTAATGCCTTAAAACTCACTCATTAATCATCTATTACTATAGTATCAATTCTATTACTACGAGTGTTTCTACCTTTGAACATATGTTTAACTACAGTCACATCAGCATCACAGATTTTTTCTAACTTTCGTTTCCTTGATCGAGTTTGAGGTCCAGAAAATTCATCACCTAAAGTACAAAGAGAAGACTTGAGAGGAGTCTCAGAACGTTTTGTTTCTGAGAGACCTGTCTGCACCTCACTAACATCACACTGTTCTTGAAATGCAAGGCACTGTTCCTGCTTCCTGCAAGACACTGTTGAACTATTTGGTGAGCTGAGCTCTGGAGATAAGCCAGCTGAAGTGTCGGATTTAGACTGTTCAATATGTCTGTCACCTCTAGAGAAGTCAAAAGAACCCAGAGAGCTTCCTTTTGAACTACCTTTGGACTGCGGACTTGGTAATGTAAGAACCAGGCTTGGGGTGGCAGGAAAGGACATTTCAGATGGGGACTCTATACTTGAAAGGTATGCTTTGACTCTGGCTTCTCCAAAATCAAAGATGCTTTCTTCCTTCTTTGGAGTTGCGCCTAGCGAAGAACTGCATCGATCTGATTTACTAGGCGTTCGAACAGAAGATGCTGATGAGGTAGAGGAGAGAGATGAGGTAGAAGAATGGCTACGAGCATCAGTGGAGGACTTCTTGTTTTTTCGACGTTGAGCCAGACGTGCATTGCTAACATCCTGAAAATATAATAATTGCTAGTAGAAACATTTCCCACTAACAGTTTTCATTAAAACAATGTAAACCAACAGTTATCAACTAAGCAAAGTTAAATATTAACCTTTTTGGGGTCAGTCCCGTACAATTACGACTTTGAAGTCAGGGTCAGACCCATAAAACTACGCCAAAATTCTTGTGGCTTTTAATCTTGTGGGAGAAAGCTGGTAGGCCTACATATGAGAGAACTGGTCTGCATGTGTGCAATATAAAAACATCTTGCAGCACGTTGTGCATGAGGGAAAAAAAATATCGACCATGTTTTTGGTGTAAAACAGTGACTTTGCAGTATATTTTCATATGGTTTTTATAGCTATATTCTCAGTTTATTGGTCTCATTTGATAGAATGGAAGATACATTACAGAAATAGATATGATTCTTAATGGTTTACAGACTAAAAGTAGGTTAAAATTGAGTTCAAAGTAGTGGAAATGTTCGATTTTTGCCGATGTTCAAGAGTAAACAAAACACATCACAAGTCCAATACACATCAACTGGCCAATCTAATATGCACTCATAAATGCACTGACATTATTTATACAATTATTACCATTATAATAAATATAAATAAAATAAAATTTTATTTCTTTGCTAAGGTACAATGTGTGTTGACATTTCATAATTTGATTGGTACAAAGAAAGCCACTATCATGCCAAGGCATTTTGGGCAGACTTAACATTATGTAGTAGTCTGAATAAAAGCAAATCTTCTATTTTTTTGTGTGAACAAAGATTCAAAATGAAAAGCAAGTGTAATATAAGAGGGGCTTGGAGACATGACTAATGAACAGAGAAAATGTTTTTTAGTGCTAGGAATATTTTTTTTTTTTATTATCACACTGGCCGATTCCCACCAAGGCAGGGTGGCCCGAAAAAGAAAAACTTTCACCATCATTCACTCCATCACTGTCTTGCCAGAAGGGTGCTTTACACTACAGTTTTTAAACTGCAACATTAACACCCCTCCTTCAGAGTGCAGGCACTGTACTTCCCATCTCCAGGACTCAAGTCCGGCCTGCCGGTTTCCCTGAATCCCTTCATAAATGTTACTTTGCTCACACTCCAACAGCACGTCAAGTATTAAAAACCATTTGTCTCCATTCACTCCTATCAAACACGCTCATGCATGCCTGCTGGAAGTCCAAGCCCCTCGCACACAAAACCTCCTTTACCCCCTCCCTCCAACCTTTCCTAGGCCGACCCCTACCCCGCCTTCCTTCCACTACAGACTGATACACTCTTGAAGTCATTCTGTTTCGCTCCATTCTCTCTACATGTCCGAACCACCTCAACAACCCTTCCTCAGCCCTCTGGACAACAGTTTTGGTAATCCCACACCTCCTCCTAACTTCCAAACTACGAATTCTCTGCATTATATTCACACCACACATTGCCCTCAGACATGACATCTCCACTGCCTCCAGCCTTCTCCTCGCTGCAACATTCATCACCCACGCTTCACACCCATATAAGAGCGTTGGTAAAACTATACTCTCATACATTCCCCTCTTTGCCTCCAAGGACAAAGTTCTTTGTCTCCACAGACTCCTAAGTGCACCACTCACTCTTTTTCCCTCATCAATTCTATGATTCACCTCATCTTTCATAGACCCATCCGCTGACACGTCCACTCCCAAATATCTGAATACGTTCACCTCCTCCATACTCTCTCCCTCCAATCTGATATTCAATCTTTCATCACCTAATCTTTTTGTTATCCTCATAACCTTACTCTTTCCTGTATTCACCTTTAATTTTCTTCTTTTGCACACCCTACCAAATTCATCCACCAATCTCTGCAACTTCTCTTCAGAATCTCCCAAGAGCACAGTGTCATCAGCAAAGAGCAGCTGTGACAACTCCCACTTTGTGTGTGATTCTTTATCTTTTAACTCCATGCCTCTTGCCAAGACCCTCGCATTTACTTCTCTTACAACCCCATCTATAAATATATTAAACAACCACGGTGACATCACACATCCTTGTCTAAGGCCTACTTTTACTGGGAAAAAATTTCCCTCTTTCCTACATACTCTAACTTGAGCCTCACTATCCTCGTAAAAACTCTTCACTGCTTTCAGTAACCTACCTCCTACACCATACACTTGCAACATCTGCCACATTGCCCCCCTATCCACCCTGTCATACGCCTTTTCCAAATCCATAAATGCCACAAAGACCTCTTTAGCCTTATCTAAATACTGTTCACTTATATGTTTCACTGTAAACACCTGGTCCACACACCCCCTACCTTTCCTAAAGCCTCCTTGTTCATCTGCTATCCTATTCTCCGTCTTACTCTTAATTCTTTCAATTATAACTCTACCATACACTTTACCAGGTACACTCAACAGACTTATCCCCCTATAATTTTTGCACTCTCTTTTATCCCCTTTGCCTTTATACAAAGGAACTATGCATGCTCTCTGCCAATCCCTAGGTACCTTACCCTCTTCCATACATTTATTAAATAATTGCACCAACCACTCCAAAACTATATCCCCACCTGCTTTTAACATTTCTATCTTTATCCCATCAATCCCGGCTGCCTTACCCCCTTTCATTTTACCTACTGCCTCACGAACTTCCCCCACACTCACAACTGGCTCTTCCTCACTCCTACAAGATGTTATTCCTCCTTGCCCTATACACGAAATCACAGCTTCCCTATCTTCATCAACATTTAACAATTCCTCAAAATATTCCCTCCATCTTCCCAATACCTCTAACTCTCCATTTAATAACTCTCCTCTCCTATTTTTAACTGACAAATCCATTTGTTCTCTAGGCTTTCTTAACTTGTTAATCTCACTCCAAAACTTTTTCTTATTTTCAACAAAATTTGTTGATAACATCTCACCCACTCTCTCATTTGCTCTCTTTTTACATTGCTTCACCACTCTCTTAACCTCTCTCTTTTTCTCCATATACTCTTCCCTCCTTGCATCACTTCTACTTTGTAAAAACTTCTCATATGCTAACTTTTTCTCCCTTACTACTCTCTTTACATCATCATTCCACCAATCGCTCCTCTTCCCTCCTGCACCCACTTTCCTGTAACCACAAACTTCTGCTGAACACTCTAACACTACATTTTTAATCCTACCCCATAGTGCTAGGAATGTCTACATTATTTATTCCGGACCCTATTTTGAAATTGGCCTTTCTTGAATTTTGTGTGAATTGGCCAAATTAGTAATTTCTTATCACTTTATTGGGTAGCTGAAATAGGTAAATGGGCAGTTTCTTGTACTTAATCGATAGAATAAAAGAAGTTCTAGCTAAACAGCTAAGAGTTTGGTCAACTGGAACAATGGAATTGGCCCAAAATAGGGCTCAAATTGGGCAAAATCACTGATGTGTAAATATCACCCTAATTTCGCAAGAATGTAATTCCATAAGTTTCCCATCAAACCTCATGCTTTTGGTTTCATTACTTTCAGAAAATTTTCTATCATTTAACTTTTTTTTTTTTTAAATTCTTCAATCCTGGGAGCAAGTTTACGAGCAGGGGTCTTGATCCTCAAAGGTTGAATTATGAAGTAGTATGCCTTACACTTTACAATGAAATCTACATAAATCTCCAACAGCTTCTTAAAGTATTGGAGAAAGGTATAATCAAAATGTACATGGTAGTTTAAATGCACATTTCAAATGTCAGACTCCTCAAGGAAGGAACCTTGATATCGGTGAAGAGCTCTCAGCCAAGGAACTGAACTTATCTTCCCCTTCTTTGGATTGAACCTCACTATGTCCCTAAGGGTTTAGCATTTTCCCAATTAAAATAAAATAAAAATTCACTAACCAGTAATCTGAAACCTTCTCTGGTAGCCATATGGAATGCATGAAAAGCTTGCTTGACCCCAGCTTCAGCCGAGACTGGACCATTTAAGGTAGGTCGGGCACTAAGAATGGTCGGAGTCATAAGGGGTGTTGCTGAGAACACTGATGGTGGCCCACCTTGAAGCCACTCGTCTTGGAGAAGTTCATTAATAGTAAGACGTTTAGAGGCATCTACCGTTAAAAGTCCTGAAACAAAGAAACAAAACTGTATGACTATAATACACAAATCTCCTGTACAAGTACAGTATCACAATTTGAGTATGATAGTGTGAATATATACTGTATGAACAATCTTCAAAGGAGGTAGCATTATGCAGGTGGAAAGCTCTTGATTCAAAGAATTGGTGCTGTCCTCTCCTTTTTATGGATCAAACTTGATTACCCTTCATTGCCCAGGCACTGCATGGCCCTTATGAGTTTAGTGCCTCCCCATTATAATAAGATGTGTGTGCATAACCTATGAAAGAAAATAAAAAGGCAATGCTGTATTTATCACCTATATAATTGGAAGTAAAGGCAAGTAAATATGTCAGTGCCCGACAGTTAGTGTGTCTCACTGATGATCATCTTCCAGTCACACAGAGAGCAGGCACTGTCACCTTGCTGTGAGAGTTGATTACAGACATCATCACAAGTGTATTCTCTAATAGAATAACCCATGTATTTTCCAATAGTAATAACACTAAAGTAACAATTTCTTTATGGTTCAACATCAATAAAACTACCATCACTTAGTGATAAATATACTACACTCTCAGGCCCTAACATGAATGATACATTATGCAACCTATTCTTTTCCTGGTGACTGAAGGCATGTATATTTTGTCTAGGATACTATTACACATATTGTCAATGCCTGTATAGTGCATTGAAGTAATATTGTGCAACAGCACAAAAAGCTTAAGCAATTTATTGCTTAACCCAAAAGAAAAACATGGAAGGTTAATCTTAAAACACTACCTAAAATAGAAAAAGTCAATACAGCCTCTCCTCACTTAATGACGAATTTCCATTCCTAAGGCCACATCATTAAACAAATTCGTTGCTAAGCGAGGAGCATACTATAATGGTAGTGGGATTGGGTCAACCATCTTTGATATTGTTTCAATGTCACCTTTGCACTATTTATAACATTTATGGAATATTTTTAAATGTTTATACATTAGTTTACTGTATACAGTGGACACTCGTTTTTCGTAAGCAGTGGAAGTCATAATTTTCGTAAATTGTAACGTTTTTTGTCAAAATATTGACTTGCGAATCGTCGTTCATCCCAGACTCATACGAGCAGCCCCACACATCATTCACAGTGAGTGTGCCATTGTTTATCAGTGAGTGAGCACGATCCCACGTGTTCATATGATGCATTTCATAATATTACATTCGTTTTAGTGCTTGCCACTCCTGCCACCATGGGCCATAAGAAAGCTCCTAGTGCCAGCCCTTTGGTAAAGGTGACAAACACGATAAAATTCAAGAAAGAACTCGTAGCAAAGTACCAAAGTGGAGGAGGAAGAGTGAGGGGAGAATGTGCCTTCTTCAGTGATTCTATAATATGTACGATATTAAAGCAGCACAAGTCAATAAAGGCTATAGCGCCAGCCAGCGATAAAGCGTAGCATTAACAGTGTAGCAAGTTAAGCGATTAATTGATAGAGAAAGGACAGCACGAAACTAACTCCTCCAATGTTATTGGAGGTATATAGAGCTACTAACAACACTGCCGCCTCTGCTGCCGCATTCACCACCATGTAAGGGTTATGATTTCAGTGACCCTTATACAACCAACAACAACAACACAACACCACTCGTGACATACATAATGACATATTTTATTCATTCTAGAGTATATGTCATGTTTCTATGTTATTAATATTGTTCATGTCATATTAGATGAACTATGATAGATAAATAAGCCGCAGAGTTGATATTAGTGTCATATTGAAGGACTATCTTGTCCTGTCACCAAACACACTCCCCTGCTGTTACCACAGTTCCTAACATAAGTAATGACATTTTATTCATACACCAACAAGAGTCTTCAATGAAGGTAATTGTGATGTTATTATTGTTTTATTCTTCATGTCTCATTGTTTTCTGTGTATGTACATCTATATTTCATGTAAAAAATAAATATTTTTTGTTAATAATTTTGGTCTGGAACATATTAATTGGATTTACATTATTTCTTATGGGGAAAATATTTTCACAAATCATCAATTTCGCTATTAGTCACTCTCTGAAATGGATTAATTACAAAAAATGAGGGTCCACAGTATTGTAATAAACAGAATAGAAGAAATCAGCTCTAATATACATTATTTAGGTATGCATAATGGTCAGAGCCCATCGTAAGTCTGAGTCCTGGGTAAACGAGTACATCGCTAAATGAGGAGAGGCTGTAATTTATGAAGTTAGGAATATGGACAGGCAACTCCACTTAATGAAGATTAATGCTTTTTCTTTCATTTAAATTTATTTCATCACAAAAAAATTTGTAATAAAGCTGGTAGAATTACCGACAATATGTAATGTAAAAGGACACAAGTGCAACTAATGTGACATTTTATTGTGGCAACGTTTCGCTCTCTCCGGCTTGACAAAGCTCCTGGAGAGCGAAACATTGCCACAATAAAATGTCACATTAGTTGCACTTGTGTCCTTTTACATTACAAAAAATTTAAAGATTTTTGCTTTATTGTATACCTTAAAAATATTAATACTATACCTTTTATAAGTTTTTTGGCTTGTGATGAAACTGCAAGCCATTCTGGCCCAGACATGTCAAAACTTCCACCCTTAATTCTGGCAATGATTGAAGCGGACGTGTCATCTTTACTTCTAGACTGGAAAGGTGCTCTGCCTGACAACATTGTGTACTGAAAAAATAATTTATGGATTTAAAATCAACAATTCTAAATTTTTAATTATGCATATTCAAACAATTTAGATCAATCTTTATCTAAATGAAACGATTTAAAGAAAAATTGGATATCACACTGGAGGGAGGGAGTATGGAAGAAGTAAATGTTTTCAGATATTTAGGAGTTGACTTGTCAGTGGATGAGTTTACAAAGGATGAGGTTAACCATAGAATTGATGAAGGAAAAAAAGTGAGTGGTGCGTTGAGGTATCTGTGGAGGCAAAAACTGTTAACCATGGAGGCAAAGAAAGGAATGTACAAGTGTATGGTGGTACCAACACTTTTATATGGGTGTGAAGCATGGATTGTAAATGCTGCAGCAAGGAGGCCAGAGGTAGTGGGGATGTCCTATCTAAGGGCAATGTGTGGTGTAAATATTATGCAGAGAATTCAGTGTGGAAATTAGGAGGAGGTATGGAGTTACTAAAAGTATTAGTCAGAGGGCTGAAGAGGGGCTGTTGAGGTGGTTTGGTCATTTAGAGAGAATGGAAATTTCTAGGTCTCCATTTTGACTGTAATCTTAAAATTTCAGACCCACATGCAGCATATATCATGGCCAAGCCCATGATGACACTCTTCAGGTCACTTGTTCTATCTAGGCTGGAATATTGCTGCACACTAACAGCACCTTTCAAGGCAGGTGAAATTGCTGACCTAGAAAATGTACAGAGAACCTTCATGGCACGCATAACGGAGATAAAACACCTCAATTACTGGGAGCGCTTGAGGTTCCTAAAACTGTATTCCCTGGAACGCAGGCGGGAGAGATACATGATTATATACACCTGGAAAATCCTAGAGGGACTAGTACCGAACTTGCACACGAAAATCACTCGCTACGAAAGCAAAAGACTTGGCAGACGATGCAACATCCCCCCAATGAAAAGCAGGGGTGTCACTAGCACGTTAAGAGACCATACAATAAGTGTCAGGGGCCCGAGACTGTTCAACTGCCTCCCAGCATACATAAGGGGGATTACCAACAGACCCCTGGCAGTCTTCAAGCTGGCACTGGACAAGCACCTAAAGTCGGTTCCTGACCAGCCGGGCTGTGGCTCGTACGCTGGTTTGCGTGCAGCCAGCAGCAACAGCCTGGTTGATCAGGCTCTGATCCACCAGGAGGCCTGGTCACAGACCGGGCCGCGGGGGTGTTGACCCCTGGAACTCTCTCCAGGTAAACTCCAGGAAAGTTTCCAAAACAGTAGGTATCCTTTCCAAGATATGATACTATGTACCCCAAAGGGCTCCTTACTTTATATCACTCTCTAATATACTCTTACCTCACCTATGGTATTTGTGCTTAGGGATCTACCATGGCCAATCACCTTAAACCTTTAATAACCCAAACAAAAAGCGGCAGTGCGGATGATCAAACTCCTGCGCCAGACAACACACCCCATCACTCTTCAAAAGCTTGAACTTAATATACAAAATATACACACTTATTATTGTGCCTGCTATATATACAGAACATTAAACTCCAATATCAACCCTCCACTCACACTTTTCCTAGACAGCTGCAACAGAACACACAGGCATAACACGAGGCACAAAACACTTTTTCACATCCCTCGTATCTGTCTCACCATATGCAAAAATGCAGTGCACATAAAGGGCCCGAAGATCTGGAACTTTATGCTCGAAACAGCAATAGGTCCCTTGCCCACATATCAATTTAGGACTATACTGAAAAATCACTTCATCTCTCAATAACAACCATACCCACACTATGCTAAACTCTAACCAAATTTAAAGCAACTCTCCCAAATATTTTATCCCTTAACTATTAAGCAATTATTACAAACTTAAAAATGTACATTTGTATTATTAATTATACAACCTCATATTAATAATAGAGTAAAATACTGAATATTTGTAATCTACCACTCATCACCTGTCTAGACTGAAGTAGTCTTTAAGTATGTATTAGGTTAAGTCTGCCTGAAATGTCTAGGTATGATAGTGGCTTTCTTTGTACCAATCAAATTATAAAATGTAAACACACACTGTAACCTTAGCAAAGAAATAAAGGTTTGATTGTGATTTTTTTTTTTTACAGAATTTGAGCTTTTCTATCCTTGCAACCTGGCCTGGGGCCATGCTTTACTGTTGAGTGCCTGTTCAACCAGTCTTTTGTTATTGGCAACCCACTGGTTCACAGCCTGAATGATATGTCACTTAATGGAAAGTGACAAGGTTTCTTTTTTAATTAAAACTTCTACACTTGTTCCTGGCAATATTTTTTATATCTGCCAGTAGCAGGTTAACAGTCTTCAATCACAGACCTTGGCACTGTTCTCTTGTGCACATAGCACTTGCATTTTATTTAATCTATTTTACACTCCCTCCCAGATCTCTCACTTCAGTAATGTAAAAAAAACAGGAATTAGATATAGAAAATTGTTGTCCTGGTCTACATCTCAGGTTATATCATGAGTTCTTGAGAAAATTAGATTTGCTTTATGTAATTTTTGCCCAATAAACCATAAGATAAAGATAAAGAGTTTATTTCTTTGTAAAGGTTAAAATGTGTAATTACAATTCTGGTTTGCTAAGTACAGTACAAAGAAAGTTACTATCATGTCAGGGCATTTCGGGCAGACTAATCGTAGTACACAATAACTATACTTAAATCTAGACAAGTTAAGAGTAGTTAACTTGTATTAAAATCTTTATTTGACCTTAATACGCACTGATGCGAGGTAGTCAAGGAGGTTTATAATAATAATAATCTTGAAGTTACACATAAAAAAACAATATTACAAATAATGGTTCAAACAGTAATATTTCATGGATTGGCAGATGTTTAATAGATCAACTGATTAGAAATTGTTTTGGTTAGTATTGAAAGATGAGATGATTTTTAAGTAAAGTCCTAAATTTATAAGTTGTCAGGGGATCCTTTACCAGTTCAGGTAGTGAATTCCAGATCTTCAGGCCCTTTATGTGCATTGCATTTTTGCATAGTGTGAGACTGACACGAGGGATGTCAAAGAGTGCCTTATGCTTTGTACTGTGACTGTGTTCAGTTGTAGCTATCAAGGAGAAGTTTAAGCGGAGGGTTTATATTGGAGTTTAATGTTCTGTATATGTAGTAGGCATAATAATATGGGTGTATATTTCGTATATTTAGTAAGTTCAGGCTTTTGAAAAGTGGTGGGGTGTGTTGTCTAGCACAGGAGCCGGTAATCATCCACACAGCAGCTTTTTGTTGGGTTATTAAAGGTTTGAGGTGGTTGGCTGTGGTTGATTCCCGGGCACAAATACCATAGGCGAGGTAGGGATATATTAAAGAGTGGTATTGGGTAAGGAGTTTCATTTGGGGCACATAGTATCATATTTTGAAAAAGATGCCTACTGAGTTGGAAATTTTCTTGGAGATATGCTAGATGTGGGAATGAAATTTAAAAATACAGTCAAGGAGAAGACCTAGAAATTTACCCTCAGTGTCTCTTGTAATAGGGGAGCCATTTATTGATATATTAAGTTGGATATTTAAGGCACTGTTTCCAAACAGCATGAAGTATGTTTTGTCTATGATGAGAGTGAGTTTGTTGACATTTACTAAAAAAGAGAAGAAGAAAAACTTTATAAAACTGGGATGCTTGAATGTGCGTGGATGTAGTGCAGATGACAAGAAACAGATGATTGCTGATGTTATGAATGAAAAGAAGTTGGATGTCCTGGCCCTAAGCGAAACAAAGCTGAAGGGGGTAAGGGAGTTTCGGTGGGGGGAAATAAATGGGATTAAATCTGGAGTATCTGAGAGAGTTAGAGCAAAGGAAGGGGTAGCAGTAATGTTGAATGATCAGTTATGGAAGGAGAAAAGAGAATATGAATGTGTAAATGCAAGAATTATGTGGATTAAAGTAAAGGTTGGATGCGAGAAGTGGGTCATAATAAGCGTGTATGCACCTGGAGAAGAGAGGAATGCAGAGGAGAGAGAGAGAGATTTTGGGAGATGTTAAGTGAATGTATAGGAGCCTTTGAACCAAGTGAGAGAGTAATTGTGGTAGGGGACCTGAATGCTAAAGTAGGAAAAACTTTTAGAGAGGGTGTGGTAGGTAAGTTTGGGGTGCCAGGTGTAAATGATAATGGGAGCCCTTTGATTGAACTTTGTATAGAAAGGGGTTTAGTTATATGTAATACATATTTTAAGAAAAAGAGGATAAATAAGTATACAAGATATGATGTAGGGCGAAATGACAGTACGTAGTTTGTTGGATTATGTATTGGTAGATAAAAGACTGTTGAGTAGACTTCAGGATGTACATGTTTATAGAGGGGCCACAGATATATCAGATCACTTTCTAGTTGTAGCTACACTGAGAGTAAAAGGTAGATGGGATACAAGGAGAATAGAAGCATCAGGGAAGAGAGAGGTGAAGGTTTATAAACTAAAAGAGGAGGCAGTTAGGGAAAGATATGGTATAAACCTTGGTAATAAATACCGACAAGTTGGTTTAGAAAGACACGTAAGCAAACACTATAACATATTTATTAGAAAACGTTTCGGTCCTGGGACCTTGATCACTTCTGTGATCAAGGTCCCAGGACCGAAACGTTTTCTAATAAATATGTTATAGTGTTTGCTTACGTGTCTTTCTAAACCAGGGAAAGATATAAACAGCTATTGGAGGATAGATGGGCTAATGAGAGCATAGGCAATGGGGTCGAAGAGGTATGGGGTAGGTTTAAAAATGTAGTGTTGGAGTGTTCAGCAGAAGTTTGTGGTTACAGGAAAGTGGGTGCGGGAGGGAAGAGGAGCGATTGGTGGAATGATGATGTAAAGAGAGTAGTAAGGGAGAAAAAGTTATATATGAGAAGTTTTTACAAAGTAGAAGTGATGCAAGGAGGGAAGAGTATAAGGAGAAAAAGAGAGAGGTTAAGAGAGTGGTGAAGCAATGTAAAAAGAGAGCAAATGAGAGAGTGGGTGAGATGTTATCAACAAATTTTGTTGAAAATAAGAAAAAGTTTTGGAGTGAGATTAACAAGTTAAGGAAGCCTAGAGAACAAATGGATCTGTCAGTTAAAAATAGGAGAGGAGAGTTATTAAATGGAGAGTTAGAGGTATTGGGAAGATGGAGGGAATATTTTGAGGAATTGTTAAATGTTGATGAAGATAGGGAAGCTGTGATTTCGTGTATACGGCAAGGAGGAATAACATCTTGTAGGAGTGAGGAAGAGCCAGTTGTGAGTGTGGGGGAAGTTCGTGAGGCAGTAGGTAAAATGAAAGGGGGTAAGGCAGCCGGGATTGATGGGATAAAGATAGAAATGTTAAAAGAGGGTAAGGTACCTAGGGATTGGCAGAGAGCATGCATAGTTCCTTTGTATAAAGGCAAAGGGACAAAAGAGTGCAAAAATTATAGGGGGATAAGTCTGTTGAGTATACCTGGTAAAGTGTATGGTAGAGTTATTATTGAAAGAATTAAAAGTAAGACGGAGAATAGGATAGCAGATGAACAAGGAGGCTTTAGGAAAGGTAGGGGGTGTGTGGACCAGGTGTTTACAGGGAAACATATAAGTGAACAGTATTTAGATAAGGCTAAAGAGGTCTTTGTGGCATTTATGGATTTGGAAAAGGCATATAACAGGGTGGATAGGGGGGCAATGTGGCAGATGTTGCAGGTGTATGGTGTAGGAGGTAGGTTACTGAAAGCAGTGAAGAGTTTTTACGAGGATAGTGAGGCTCAAGTTAGAGTACATAGGAAAGAGGGAAATTATTTCCCAGTAAAAGTAGGCCTTAGACAAGGATGTGTGATGTCACCGTGGTTGTTTAATATATTTATAGATGGGGTTGTAAGAGAAGTAAATGAGAGGGTCTTGACAAGAGGCGTGGAGTTAAAAGATAAAGAATCACACATAAAGTGGGAGTTGTCACAGTTGCTCTTTGCTGATGACACTGTGCTCTTGGGAGATTCTGAAGAGAAGTTGCAGAGATTGGGGGATGAATTTGGTAGGGTGTGCAAAAGAAGAAAATTAAAAGTGAATACAGGAAAGAGTAAGGTTATGAGGATAACAAAAATATTAGGTGATGAAAGATTGGATATCAGATTGGAGGGAGAGAGTATGGAGGAGGTGAATGTATTCAGATATTTGGGAGTGGACGTGTCAGCGGATGGGTCTATGAAAGATGAGGCGAATCATAGAATTGATGAGGGGAAAAGGGTGAGTGGTGCACTTAGGAGTCTGTGGAGACAAAGAACTTTGTCCTTGGAGGCAAAGAGGGGAATGTATGAGAGTATAGTTTTACCAACACTCTTATATGGGTGTGAAGCATAGGTGATGAATGTTGCAGCGAGGAGAAGGCTGGAGACAGTGGAGATGTCATGTCTGAGGGCAATGTGTGGTGTGAATATAATGCAGAGAATTCGTAGTTTGGAAGTTAGGAGGAGGTGCGGGATTACCAAAACTGTTGTCCAGAGGGCTGAGGAAGGGTTGTTGAGGTGGTTCGGACATGTAGAGAGAATGGAGCGAAACAGAATGACTTCAAGAGTGTATCAGTCTGTAGTGGAAGGAAGGCGGGGTAGGGGTCGGCCTAGGAAGGGTTGGAGGGAGGGGGTAAAGGAGGTTTTGTGTGCGAGGGGCTTGGACTTCCAGCAGGCGTGCGTGAGCGTGTTTGATAGGAGTGAATGGAGACGAATGGTTTTTAATACTTGACGTGCTGTTGGAGTGTGAGCAAAGTAACATTTATGAAGGGGTTCAGGGAAACCGGCAGGCCGGACTTGAGTCCTGGAGATGGGAAGTACAGTGCTTGCACTCTGAAGGAGGGGTGTTAATGTTGCAGTTTAAAAACTGTAGTGTAAAGCACCCTTCTGGTAAGACAGTGATGGAGTGAATGATGGTGAAAGTTTTTCTTTTTCGGGCCACCCTGCCTTGGTGGGAATCGGCCAGTGTGATAATAAATAATAAATATTTTTAGAAGCTCGTTCAGTGTCTCTAAGTATAGCTGGGTTTGAGTGGGAGTAGATATTAGTGTCATCTGTGAATAGCCCCTATCTTGGTCATTAAATGACCACTTGATTTTTAATGCTGCAGTTTTATAACTGTACTGTAAGCATGCCTCTGGCAAGACAGTGATGGAGTGAATGATGATGGAAGTTTTCCTTTTTTTGGGCCACCCTGCCTTGGTGGGAAATGGCCAATGTGTTAATAATAATTAAAAAAAAATTTATTACTGTAATATTTTTGTCTTAAAATGGTTTTCTATTAATTCCTATAAAACAAAAGACCTAGCAATTCTGTGAATGGTTAGTCATTAAATGACATCTGGAAGATGGTCATATCCCATTGCTCACTGCCTGTCTATATTTTTCTTCACATTCTTTACTGTAAATTTGTTCAAATTTATTTCTGTGGGGTGCACAGTGGTTTGTGCACCATCAGTCACTCATTTCACTTTTAAAAAATGACAAGTATTATTTGAGGAAGGAAGACTTGAAGGGGGGAAAAAAGGGAGGATCTCCCTCTTTCCCCTTATATCGCATTAATCTCTTATTGCATTTCACTTTGAGTTCTTAAGTGTTACCCCTGATGAATACTACTTTATTACATTTTACACTATTTTTTTTTTTTTAGTCCGTGTACCACTATCAAAGTAGTACACAATAGTTTAATTATTAAACTATGACTGGCTGCTTGAAAAGCTTTCCTCTCTAGATACTGGAGACTATTTCTTTGTGCTAAAAATACCGATATTCATGGCGCTTTGTATACTGAACTGTTGTGTCACATTCTATAAGTTGACGTACACTACCTCCTTCAAGGATATTCTGTTCACCACCTCTCTGCTGAACATTCCCCTTCATATCTCTGCCTCAATTTGGTTCTAGCTGCATAGTTTGGCAACTAAAGATGTAAAGATAAATAACTAATTTACTAATAAATAAAATGCTGCTAGAATGTTGGACTTACTAGAATAACGCCCAAGCTCCACCAGTCACAGGTCTCGTCATATCCAGCAGCTCCTTGTTGAACTGCTTGTCGCAAGACCTCAGGAGCTGCGTAGTGGAGAGTGAAGCAAGGAGTTTTCATACTTCCATCTTTATCTTTATCTGGCATTGTGCGAGCAAAGCCAAAATCTACTATTTTAATTTCTGAGTCTTCTGATGAATTTTTGAAAAGAAGATTCTGTGGAAAAGAAACATACACAAATCTTAAATTTTATTTGAATTTCACCTTTTATGTTATTACTGCTGTAATTAATAAAATAGAAATGCATATGTTGGAAAAATGGAAAAATATTGTGGGAGATGATTTTTCTTTGGTTCTCTAAATACTTTCTAACAGTTTCTAATATCTCAGCATTTCTTGACAATGACAATATCATACCAAGGCCAATGGACCCCTCCCATCCCCCCTTAAAAATAGAAAAACATATACACTATTACTCTTTTGCTGTCTTCTCAGAAAAGTATAGATCATAATAAAAATGATGCAACAAAACACAACCTTCCCATCCATTCTTCAGAACCTAAGAACCTTCCCATTTTTTCAATTATGAGAGAAAAAAAAAGTTAATACACAACTGCCTAATCACAATTTTTGCTACCGTCATAAAACTTTATCACAGCATTAACTTTTCTTTAATTCCATACTTATACAACTCCTTCCACAGTTCTCTACACCTTTTCCATAAGATATCTCCAAAACCACAGAGATTATATATGCCTTGTAATCTTTTTCACATACCTTTACAAAAGTTTAAACTACACGAATACAGATAGGTAGAGGGTGTTGTGTGATCAGCTGATGGAAGTTCCAGCCTCTACACTGAACCAAATGACCCATACAAGTTTAATGCTTTGTATCATTTTTTTTTTTAATACTGGTCATCTCCCACCAAGGTAGAGTGACAAAAAAATAAGGAAACAGTCACCATCATTCATTCAACAGCTGTCTTGCCAGAAGCGTGGAGACATAACATTTAATACAACCCTCCGAACTGCAACATCACCATCCCCTCCCTCAGAGTTCAGGTACTGTACTTCCTACCTCCAAGACTCGGTTTCCTTGAATCCCCTGATAAATGTTATCCTGTTCACACTCCAACAGCACATCAAACCAAAAGAAAGAACTACTTGCCTCCACTATGATCTAACATGCTCACACAAATTTGCTGGATGTTCAACCCCCACCCCCCAGCACTCAAAACCTTCACCCCCTCTTCCTCCAACACTTCCTGAAATCATCTTTATCTCTTCCTATCTATTTTATTTCTTTTATCCTCTAAATGTGCAAACCACTGCAGTCAGTCTTCCTGAGCCCACTGACTTACACCAGTGTTAACACCACACCTTGTAATCTCTGTGCTTCAGTTTTCTGAATGTACATTTTTTTTTTTTTTTTTTTTTTTTTTTTTTTTTTTTTTTAGAATTTTCACTTCATTATTAGAGATGTGAATATGCCTCTAAATGGCAATGATGAACAAAAATGATAGAAATTCATTAAAAATATAATGTAGAAAATATATGCACTTTGCATTTAGAATTTTAGAACTTTACTTAATAAGGTTGTGGTGTATTATACAATAATTACATTCTTGTTTACAACTTTTCTTTTTTATAATTTTCTATAACAACTGCTTGTATATAAAAAGACAGATGAAAGAGAAAGTACAACAGGTCAAGAAATGAGAAATACAAAAACATACACAACCTAGTGTGCAAAAGACAGTGCTTTTGCTGAAATGTAAAAAAAAATTCTTACCTCAGGTTTCAGGTCCCTGTGTACAATGCCTTTTCTGTGCATGAAGTTAACTGCAGATACTAAACTTCTCATAATAACCGACGCTTGTGCCTCTGTGAACCTTTCGTGTTTTCTAATCCGTTGAAGTAATTCCCCTCCTTCTAAGAGCTCCATGACTATGTATGTGTGGGCCTGTAAAGATACACAGGAAATATATAGGTGATCAGTTGTAATGGTAGATAATATGGGAATACGGTAGACCATCATTTAATACAAGTTTATTTGGCATGATTCGGTTATAGCATGACTGAAGAATTGCAGCACGATTTTATACAACACTTCGTAAAATTAATTTAACACAGTTCAGTTTGCGGGAAGGAAAAAAATTTGGAGTGTCAGCTGCAGGATACTTCTGGCTGTGGATTAAACCACTGAGTCAATGGGGCAGACCTACCACCATCCCCCGCCACCCCCAACGACCCTTTGCCACCCCCACCACCTTCTGCCACTTCCACAACCCTCGCAACCCTCCACCACCCTTGTCCTAGTCTTGGGTTCGTATGCATGTAGAACTGTACTCTCTAGATGTGTTTATTTTTGCTGGATCTTTTAATTGCCATATCTTGCATCTGCCTAGCAATCATGGCACCCAGTAGGCATACAAGTGTTGCTGAAAGTGGCAAGAAAAGGTTTAAGCATTTATGTCTAGGAATTACAAAGAAAATCGAGATATTAGATAAGCTTAAGAGTGGCTCACATGTGGTGGATATACTGAGGGCCTATGGCCTTAATGAAGCGTCCATTTGTACAATTAAAAAGAACAAGGTGAATATACGAGCTTGTGTAATGAATAACCCAAGACGTCGTTTCATGAAAAGACCGACATATAGATCACAACAAGTAAATAAAACAGAAAACTTGTTGCTTGAGTGGGTCAAACAAAAGACAAAGAAAGGTGCATCACTTAATTTCAACCTAATTAGGGAAAAGGCCTTATAGTTGCTTAAAGCAGTGTGTGATAAGGAAGGAAGACCTGCAAAAGAGTGTAGGTTTAGCACAACTTCCACAATTTTAACCCTTTGACTGTCGCAACCCCCAATCCTGAGGTGTCTCCTGGTGTCGCAAAATTTCAAAAAAAAAAAAAAAATTATTTTTTCTTATGAAATGATAGAGAATCTTTTCCCGATTGTAATGACACCAAAAAAGCGAAATTTGATGGAAAGCTGACGGAATTGCGCTCTCACGAAGTTAGCGACCTCGGCGATATTTACAAATCGGCGATTTCGCCCACTTTGAGCCCTATTTTTGGCTAATTCCATTGTTCCAGTCAACCAAGTGCATAGCTATTTCTTTAGAACTCCATTTTTTCTATCGATTGAGTACAAGAAACTGCCCATTTACCGATTTTAACTACCCAATAATGAGGTCAGAAATTTGCAATTTGGCCAATTTCACGAAAATTAAAAAATATGACAGTTTCAAAATAAGGTCCAGAATGAACAATGCAGACATTCCTGACTCTAAAATAACATTTTCTTTGCTCATCAGTCATATCTCCAGGCACCTCTGATATTACTCTTGCTTTCTATTTTGAATTTTTATTCAAACAAAAAATAGAAGACTTACTATTATGCAGACTACTGCAATACTGCAATAATTGTATAAATAACATCAACCCATTCATGACTGCTTATTAGAATGGCTAGTTGGACATTTATTGGACAATGACATCATTCGTTTACTTTTGAACATTGGCAAAAATCAAACATTTTCCCTGCATTGAGCTCCATTTCCAGGTTCTTTTTATAGTAAAATCAATCAAAATCACCTCTATTTCTATAATATGTTTTCCATTCTATCAAGTGAGACCAAGAAAATGAGAATACAACCATAAATACTATACGAAAATAGACCACAAAGTCGGCATTTTAATTAAAAAAAATGGTCGGAGTTTTTTTTTCTCATTATGCACTGCGTGCTCCAGGATTTTTTTTATATGGTACACACTGACCACACAGACCCATTCTCTCACATGTGGGCCTACCAGCTTTCTCCTGCTTGATTTGAAGCCGCTAGAATTTATGAGTATATATACGTCAAACACGGTACCTCGTAAGACGTATATATACGGCCGCGACAGTCAAAGGGTTAAGTTGCATAATAAGTTACATAATATTAAGTTTTCTGGTGCAAGTGATTCAGCTGATCATACAGCAGCAAGTAATTTCCCAGCTGAATTGCAGGAAATTATTTCTGAGGGTGGCTATTAGCCACATCAAGTGTTTAATGCTGACAAGACAAGTATTTTTTGGAAGAAAATGCCAACACGAACTTATATCAGACAGCAAGAGAAAAGTGCACTGGGCTTCAAGACAGCAAAGGATCATTTCACGCTGCTCCTTTGCAGTAATGCATCAGGTGATTTCAAGCATAAGCCCATGGTTATTTACCACTCTAAGAATCCTCATGTTTGAAAGGTGTAGATAAAAACACCTTACCAGTAATTTGGAGGGCAAACCAGTCAGCATGGATGACAGAGAAAATATTTATTGACTGGTTTAAGCATCACTTTATTCCTGAAGTCGTTTTATCTGCACAGCAAGAACCTTGCATTCAAGGCTCTCTTCATTCTTAATAATTCCCGTACTCATCCACAAACTTTGTTGGATGTGACCCCACATGTAAAAGTTGTATTTTTACCTCCAAATACAACATCTCTAATTCAACCACTGGATAAGGGAGTGTAACTACACAAAAAAAGTTCTGAAAAAACTAGTTGCATCAATGGACTCTGACTCCAACTTGGCAGTACCAAGCTTCTGGAATAAATTTAACATTGCAGATACTATCAACTATGCTAGAAGTGCATGGAATGAAGTGCCCCAATCAACATTAAATGCAGGCTGAGGAAAGTTATGGCCTTCTGGAATTAATTCTTTCACTGGTTTTCCTTTGCTTGAGAGTCAGATTCAGGAAATTGTTCAGCTGGCAAGATTACCAGGTGATGGTTTTGAATATATGAATGAAGAAGATGTGAATGAGCTCTTAGATGATGATGATGATGAAAACAGGAGCCCAAAGGAAATATTGGCAGAGCTTGATGCACAGATACAAGGAAGCCACATAACAGAAGATGAAGAAGAACCTGAAGAAAAACAGTTAACACTGCAGCAGTTACATGAGCAGTTCCATGTTGCTGCTAAACTAGCAAACTTTTCACTGAAGAGGGCCCTGAAAAATCTAGAAGCAGTACTTTGAAACAGGGTCTAGACCAGCTGATGAAGCCTTAACGTCAGGTACTGCAGGGTAAAAGAGCCCAAAGATCCATTACAGAATTTATGCACACTCCAATATAACCATCGACTTCGGTACCAGAACCTCTACCATCCACTTCTGCTGACAACCAACAACCATCCACCTCAGCCCAGTAGGGCCACACCATGCATATCCACTCTCTTCACAATCATCCACAAACACCATTACCCACAATTTACGGTAAGAAATACTATTATTTCTATTGTATTTGTAGTCTTAAGCAGTAATATATCACGACAATGAACTACAATTACATGCTCACTTTTATTTTTGTAAGAACTGTTGACTTTTGGGGGCTTCCAGGAACATAACCCCATTTTTCCCATAAGTTCTTCAGTTCATCTTACACAGTTTTTACCTAACATGGCATTTTCAGGAATGTAACTATCACGTTAAATGACAGTCTACTGTACCAACAAACTGTAGTAGATAAAAACATAAGCAGTAATTAGAAATCCTTTAAGACAATGTTTCTCCTGCACAGAAAGCCTTTTCAAGTCTGAATGGAAATGCTTATTACTTTATCTGAACAGAAATGCTTATGCAGTACGGCCCCGCTTTACGGCATTCTGCTAATATGGTCATTTCAAATTATGCCCAAAACTCGCTATACGGCTCCCCCCACCTGACTTTCTAATACGGTCACCACGCCCCACCCGGTTTGTTTACATTCTCTGTGAGATCCGTAAGCACTAAGTCTCTCCATTATATCTGGAAACTCCAAAATTTCAAGTGTTTTTAAAAGTTATTTCATATTTTATATATACTCTATTATACTTATGTATACCTGTATCTAAATAAACTTACATACTGTGCTGGCATGCAGGTACACATTAAAATCAGTGTCTTATATCTCGAGTCTTCATATTAGTAATGATAATAATAATCACCGAGTCTCATTTAAATGTCATATATTACGTTAATATATACATTTTCATTAATACATCTATGATATTTTTTCAAAATTATATAATAAACACGATGCATAACATATAAAGATGATAAATACACCCCACAATAGAATAAATAAACATAAATATGAGATGTGGTAACCAGACGACTTGCACAAATGACGCCCTACTAGAAATAATAGTAATAATAATAATCACCGAGTCTCATTAAATGTCGTATATTACCTTAATATACACATTTTCATTAATCCATCCATGATATTTTTTCAAATTATATAATAAACACGATACATAACATATAAAGATGATAAATACACCCCACAATAGAATAAATAAACAAATATAAGATGTCATGGCCAGATAACTTGTACAAGTGACGGCAAGAAAAACATTTTCTCTAGTCTAACATAAGAAAAAATGTGTTACTGGGGGTAACTGTAGAAAATTATTCCTTCAGTATGTATGTAAGCTTATTCAGGTATACACAAATACAGTTACATAGATTATCATACATAACAGCATGTGTAGAGAACCTAGGATAACCCAAAAAGTCAGACAGAGTGACTTATTTCCATTGCTTTCACTCAGAGCGTTCTTCTTTATTTATTCTACCGTATCAATGTAGAGACAACTTGTACACAATGTAACTTGTACACAAACCAGACGTGTACACTTTGTTTACAAAACTGACGTTCGCCTGGTTTGTTTACATGACTCTGCGCCTGTCCTTCCTCACGTACTCATTCTCTTTCTGATTTATTCGTTTTATCTCGTTTACTCACCCCTGACCCTACATTAAGACTACAAATATTTTAAGGTAAGTAATGAGTGAACTGTATATGCATTTTATCCTCTGGGAAGCTTACATACAGAATAGTATATGTGGGTGGAATGGCCTGGTATAGTAGCCCGGCTGACTACCATACATACCACACTTGATTTCTTACAATATATACTACTCATCTC